TAAAAAAAAACACAAAGAAAGAAAGAAAAATGGCAAAAAGAAAAAAGAAGACGAAATAGTCAGCTCTCCATTCTGGATAGCAAAGGAATAGGTGGTATCAAAAAAAGGTAGGGGTTTGACGCTCTCTCTTACAAAATGTGATGTCTGAATTTGAATTTCGTGTAATATAATATCTCATTCTCTTATTCCCTTTTTACTGATTATTAGAGAAGAGGGTTTTGATGAGTTAGAGATTTTTGTTTTTAGTCTTTCTTTGCATGTTCCGAATAGTTTATAATACCCGCTGAGTTGATTATTTTCGTAACAAAAGAAAATCAAATTAATCGAATTTTATAAAATGAAACAAAAATATACTCCACAAAAAATACATACAACCATAACCCATTTCCAACTTGGGGGCAGCTCCTCCTATGGAGTTTGGTTCAGTGCTGGAATCACTGGAACCAGCAAGCATACCCGAGACATACGGTCCTACCCAACAAGATCTAAACTTCATCTTTACAACAAAGAACCCAAATATATATATATACTAGTGGGTGGTACACACGATGTGTGTGCAATTTAAATAAGTAGGAATAAAAAAAAATAATAATGAAATTAATATTATAATGTGTAGTTAGCTTAAGTGGTATGAGTCATCGTATTTAAACCCATGGTCATGAGTTCAAGCCTTGCCCATCTCTTTGTTTAACTTTTTTTTTAAAAATAAAAAATACTGCCACATGGCATGAGGAGAGTAAAGCTTCAGGACACCAAAGTTCATGTTCACTTTATAATAGTATAGATAGATAGATATATATATATATTTTTTGGTTTGTATAGAAAAACAATATATTGAACACCTTAAAATTACATGTTTTTCACTTGGGCAACTGTAATATTGTATTATTCCTCAAACAAATGGGTCTCAAATTTATATCATTGTGTACAGTGCAAACACTAAAGAATGTCACACAAAATCTAGAAATGTGCAATTTTTACTATCAAAAAGAGTAAATTTGAAACTTATCCTGTTTTGCTGTGTTCAAATTTAAAATTGTGAAGGTAAACGAAAAGCAAAGAAAAAAAATCAAGTAATAAAATATTTATTTTTTTCTTTGTTGGTTGAAAAAAAAAACTGATACCAATTGAATAAAATATATATATATATATATATTTTTTAGTTTAATTACAAAATTACATATTTTTCACTTGAGCAACTGTAATATTGTATTATTCCTCAAACAAATGGGTCTCAAATTTATATCATTGTGTACAGTGCAAACACTAAAGAATGTCACACAAAGTCTAGAAATGTGCAATTTTTACTATCAAAAAGAGTAAATTTGAAACTCATCCTGTTTTGCTGTGTTCAAATTTAAAATTGTGAAGGTAAACGAAAAGCAAAGAAAAAAAATCAAGTAATAAAATATTTATTTTTTTCTTTGTTGGTTGAAAAAAAAAACTGATACCAATTGAATAAAAAATATATATATATATATATATATATTTTAGTTTAATTACACAAATATATATATGTGCATTTAGCAATTTTTCTTTGCTATGCTTTTTTATTTGTTCATTTATACATATCTTGAATTGGCTTATAAGGGTTATGCATGCATTTTATTTTTGTGTTAGAATATTTGATATAATTTTTACTTAGTTAGTATAGCGGGTTAGAACTGTCCTTAGCGGGATCCATATATAACTTAAGTGCTCAAATAACTTGTACAAGAAAATTTTAAAAAATTCTTAACCCCTAAAAACAAAGGACCATTGGATAATTTTTTTTACACCTTTCTTAACCCAATAGTTTAGTGGATATAAGGTCCATTTTTACCAACAAAATTGTCCTCAAAATAACCTCAAGAGCAAAGAACAATAAAATTAAAAACAAAGCCACAAGTCTGTCTTCTGTTTATTTATTTTTTGATTGGCTGCTACAAAAGGATTTTATTAAATAAAAAAGGAAGATTACAAGAAACCAGAAAACAAGAAGTAAACCAAAGAAAAAATCCAAAAGAAAAAAGAAAAAAGAAAACATTTCAAACTACGCATCAGATACTGCCCTCCAATCATTATCAGAAATCACAAAGAGAGAAATCCGTGTGGGAAGAAGAAACCAATGTACAAAAACGATGACAAAAACAATCAATAGTCATGAGACTACTACGAGTCAATGCTTACATAAATACTTTAGCACCTTGACCTTAACGTTGTGTTTAGTTGGAAGATTTAAAGAGAGATTTAAAATATATATATATATATATATATGTGTGTGTGTGAAACTAGATAAAATATAGGTATATTTTATGCACATTTCACATACCTTTTTCATTTCATTTTCTAAATTTCTCCTCAAATCTCTTAACCAAACATAACATAAGAGGCACAACCGTTTTCTGCATTCTTTTAAAATGAATGAATAAACAACAGGAACATTTGGATTATCAATGATACAAACAAAAATAGAAAACTTGGTATGTGAACAGCCTCAGAGGATTGAGATAAGTAAAATCATCAAGAACAGACAACAAAGATGCAAATTCAATTCACAGGCTTCCCCATTTGTCTTTAATTTAGCCCACATCGACACTTTTAAAATAGATGTTGTCATTTTGCAACACCTATGATACATTGCCATGACATGATGAGAAGGCAGGGCTTGTACGTGTCTATATTTTTAATAAATTGTTTTTCAACAGACACGTAGACACCAGGCAGACACACATAAGAGCACGCTTCAGGACAAGAACTCATCTTATTTTCATTTCATTTTTTAAGATTAATAAATCAAAAGGTCATATTATAATATTCAGAAAGGGTCGGGTTTCCTCCCGTCTCACAGGAGGGTACTGATGGGCCGTGAGGCTCATTATGAATCCCGTTTTAATAATTTGAACCATTCAATGTGTAAAACTCGTCAATTATTATATGCTTGTAAAAAATTACATTGATCGGATATCGATAGCTATTTCATCGAATTAAATTTCTGTCAACTGTTAATTTTTTCACCGTCCATTTTTTTTATATACAAAATTGTTGATCATATAATTATCGATATTCGATCAACGTGATTTTTTACAGACATATAGTACTCTACGAACTTTACATATTCAACGTCGATATTCGATCAACGTGATTTTTTACAGACATATAGTACTCTACGAACTTTACATATTCAACGGTTCATATTATCAAATCGGGATTCGTGATGAACCCCCACAGAAACAACAATACCCTCCAGTCTAATCATAGATACCCTCCAGTCTAATCATAGATATGAGGGAAGCTACCCCTTCAAAAAGATGAATGTTGCTTTAAAAAAAAAAAAGGAAAAAAAACTCATCAAACTATCTACAAGGCAATACAAATCCAAACAAGGTTTGAGAGAATGAGGTTCATATTATCAAATCGGGATTCGCAGTGAACCGCCACAGAAACAACAATACCCTCCAGTCTAATCATAGATACCCTCCAGTCTAATCATAGATATGAGGGAAGCTACCCCTTCAAAAAGATGAATGTTGCTTTAAAAAAAAAAAAGGAAAAAAAACTCATCAAACTATCTACAAGGCAATACAAATCCAAACAAGGTTTGAGAGAATGACTTCTAATGATTTGGAGAGTCTAATGCAACACATATTTAGAGTTGTTTGGGATAAACTACATAAATGTAATTTTTGAATTAAGAAAGTAGAGTAACAAAAAAGGTTATTTAGGATAACTTTTTACGAAAAAATGTACATTAAAATATTGTATAAAATAACAAAATTATCCGATTACCCCTAATGCCCCCTATGCGTATATTGATAGTGATTGTTTAGGAAACCAATTAGCTACGTTGCTTTCAGGTTGTGTAGTGGATTAGACGGTGCTGTTCAGTCTGTGGGACCCCACCACAGGTCCCATTTTGATAATCCGAACCGTTCAATGTGTAGAACTCGTCGAATACTATATACTTATAAAAAATCAAGTTGATCGGATATCGATAACTATTTAATTTTTTGTCAACCGTTAATTTGTTCACCGTTCATTTTGTTTTATACAAAATTAATTTGATCATGTAGCTATCGATATCCGATCAACATGATTTTTTACAGACATATAGTATTCGACGAATTCTACAAATTGAACAGTTCATATTATCAAAACGGAACCCGTAATGAGCCCCCACGGGCCGAACAATACCGTCCTGTGTAAATTTGTACCATCACTACAGTAGCCATAGTTGGCTTGTACCTTTTTCCTGTTTAAATTTGTTGTTTTTATATATATGTATATATATATATATATATATATTTTTTTTTGTGAATAGTGATAACTTTTTGATTTTTTATCTTTTATAAACTATGCCAAACAAGCACTAAAGTCTCTAACTAATTTAAATTTAATTTTCTTATGTTCAATTAGTACTATTTCTTTTAGAAATTTTAGTTATTTATTTATGGATATTATATATATAAAACGAATAAAAATATATAATTGTCATATTCCTACTGCATACCTGTCTTTATTTTGTTTAAATCACCATATTCTGTATTTATGTTCATGTGAGTATTCGTGTTTCTTATATCCCATCTCACAAACCTAAAAACATTATTATGTTTCTCTATAGTAAAAAAATAAAAATAGAAGGTTGTAAAAAAACAAGATAGCATAGTACTAATTTATGTGAGTTGACAAAATTACCCTCATATAATTCATAAATTGATCTCAGAACAAGGGTACAATCTTGTCATTTCAAGGATTAATAACTCCAAAATTCCAAACCAAAAAAGTCTCAAACACCCCAAAAGGAAGAAAATCAACATCAAAAGACCCCACAAGACCAGGCCATCCAAGTCATATACACGTTTTCTTGGTCACTTTCTTGGAAATTTCTCACATCAATTGATTACTCAAGACGTCATCAATCTCAGCATTATTGATGACTTAGGTCCACGTAGTTCAACCAATCAAAGCTCTTGAATTTATGAAGAGTTGGTGCTCAAACCAGTCTTATAAATGTCCAACTACCTTAGTCTTCACACATGCTCTATCTACTCTCACACTCTCTCTCTCTCTCTCTCTCCACAAATAAGTCTTTAGATGTTTGATGTAAGAGCAAGACCAAGAACTCACCCTGCTTCTCTCTACTCTAGAGAGAGGAAAAAGATGGTGGCGGGTGCAGCAACGATGTTGCCGACGATGGCAGAGACATGGACTGCAGTGGGCTCAGCCCTAGCTAGTTTCATGTTTGTTTGGGCCATGATCCGCCAATATTGTCCCTACGAGCTCCGCCACTTCCTAGAGAAGCACACTCACAGTATCAGGAGCTTCTTCGATCCCTATATCCGGGTTTCAATCCACGAGTTCAACGAGACCCGGCTAAACCGCAGCGAAGCCTATGCCGCAGTCGAGGCATACCTCAGCAAGAATACATCAAACAGTGCCAAGAGGCTCAAAGCCAAGATGGGAAAGGACAACAAGAAGCTAGTACTCAGCATGGATGAATATGAAAAAACTACAGACGAGTTTCAAGGTGTGAAAGTTTGGTGGGTCTTGACCAAAGCTGCGTCATCGCCTCGGGCCACGCCCATGGGGTACCATCCGGAGCCAGAGAAAAGGTATTACAAGCTCACATTCCATAAGCGGGATAGGGAAATGATAACCGAGTCTTACTTGCAACATGTGGTGAAGAGATCTAATTTCATTAGGGTAAAGAATAGGCAGAGAAAGCTCTACATGAACGATTCTAGTTATAAATGGTCGATCCACAACAAGGCTACGTGGACCCACATTCCGTTTGAGCATCCGGCGACGTTTGAATCGATGGCGATGGAGCCGGAGAAGAAGCAAGAGATCATGGAAGATCTGTTGACTTTTAGCCAGAGTAGGGATTTTTATGCTCGGATAGGGAAGGCATGGAAACGGGGATATCTACTTTATGGTCCCCCCGGCACTGGAAAGTCCACCATGATTGCCGCAATGGCAAATTTGTTGGAATATAATGTTTATGATCTCGAACTTACGGCTGTTAAGGACAACACGGACCTTAGGAAGCTTTTGATTGAGACTACGAGTAAATCAATCATTGTAATCGAGGATATTGACTGTTCACTTGATCTTACAGGCCAAAGAAAGAAGAAACCGGAGAAATCTGCAGAAGACAAGAATGAAGACGGGAAGAACGAAGTTCCTGTGAAAGAACCGAAGGCAGAGAGTTCTAGCAAAGTTACGCTTTCTGGGCTTCTGAATTTCATTGACGGTCTTTGGTCTGCCAGCGGAGGGGAGAGAATAATTGTTTTCACAACTAATTTTGTGGAGAAATTAGACCCTGCCCTGATAAGACGAGGACGTATGGACAAGCATATTGAGCTTTCATACTGTAGTTTTGAGGGATTTAAGGTGTTAGCGAAGAATTACCTGTCGGTAGAAGATCACCCAATGTTTGAATCAATCAAGCAGTTGATGGAGGAGACGAAGATCACGCCCGCTGATGTTGCAGAGAACCTCATGCCCAAGTCTGCAAGAGATGATGCAGAGAAATGCTTGTCTAAACTGATTCAAGCTCTTGAGGACGCGAAGAAAGAAGCAGCTGAAAAGAAAGCAAACGAGCAGCTAAGAATGGAGGACACAAAAAAGGAAGATTCAACATCTCAAGATAAGCAAGAAACTGAAAAACCACTGATTTAAGGACGCAAAAATATATTTTCAATTGTCAATTATGTATGTTAATGGCAGCTATCTAAAACATCAGTTTCGTTCTGAAATAGAGCACTGCATCAATGTATCTCATACATACGAATAAATATTCAGAGCAACCAATCACAAAGCTGTTAATCAGCAGTGTAAGAAGATGCAAAGCTAGAAAAAGTAAGAGGATTAGTTACGTTTCAAGGGAGGAAGGTTTAATTACAACAAAGAAATCAGTTTCTAAAATTTGATTTGATCATACCAACAGATAGATACCAACCAACCCTGATGCTCAGAAGCAGACCATTGTCATGACCATAGAAGATAAAACAATGGGGCTTGAACATGTGAAAGTAAAAATTTTCAGTTACAATGAGTTAAAAAGGATATATTGTACACTGGCTCAACAAGAAAAGACTAAAGAACTCCCAACAAATTTCCCATTCATTTGCCGTAGATTTGTTTCTTTGAATGTAGGCATACTAAAAAATGACCACTCAATCTACATAATATTCTCAGCACCAAGTTGCTCCCCGCTGGAAATCATGAAGAAACTGTGGTAAGTCTCTAATTGCAACTTCTGGGGCTCATAGCAAAATTTATAAATTATCTATCATACAACCAAGGTTTTCCCAACAGAAAACTAAAACCTTCCTGTGGCGAGGGAAGCATTAGAAGTCATCTGCTGGATCTTCATCTTTCATTGTTGTGTTGGGACCATCTTCAAAACCGCAACTCGGGGCAAGCTCATTTAGGTCAAGAAATCGCCTTTTTCTTACACCTTCAATTTCATCTTGACCTGGGCTGTTTGATTTCTCAGGTGGTTGGTTTCGCTCTTTCTCTACCGTCTCAGGGTGCTCTTCTTCTACAGGTTGATCGACTTCTTTTATCTCCTTGTTATCATTGTTGCCCTCGGAATCTTGACTTTCCAATGAAAATTCTGCATTATCAGTATCTGTGTGTTCATCCAATGCATTTGATTTCTCAGGTTTCGTTGACTCCACTTCTGACTCTGACATTTCATACTGTTTATAATTGATACGATTTTTCATGGCCCTTTTACTACGCCTTAGACCTGACTGGAGCTCATCAACTGACCTTAATCTAATTTCCCTCCTAGTACGGCCTGGCAATTTCTTAAATCTTCGGGGCTCATCACTACTGTCGCTATTACTTAAGGAATCATCAGCAACATCATCTTCTTCTTCCTCTTCCTCTTCAGCATTTTCATCATCCCAATGGTATTCCTCATCTCCTTCAGAGCTGCTTGACATTTTCCTCATTTTCTTCCTCTGCCTCAAATATGCTTCATCGTATACAGCTTCTCCAACTATATCATCATCACTATCAAAGTCAGCCTCATTCTCTGAAACTGCTTCAACAAACTCTTTCGCTGAATACCGTTGAGGCCTTTGTCTTCGTCGATTACTGTATACCACAAGACACCAGTAAGGGTATGGATGAATTATCGGAACAAAAATTATGGATAGAAAGAAGTTGAGTCTACCTGCGATCCAATAGTTCAGGTTTATGGTCCATATCAGTTTCATCATAATCAAATGACTCTGGTGATGGCATGTCGAAAGAGCCTTGCTCAGGAATTTGCGAAGGACCACTCCAACTACCATTTATAGAAGCCTCAGCTTTTGCAACGAATTCTCTTCTGACAGTAGGTTCTGGGGATGACTGTTTCCGCCTGATTTAAAGAGTAAAATGAGAAAAAAAAGCAAAGACAAAGGTCTACTCTTTGTAGCAAAAATTTAGAAAGCAAATTCCTTTAAAATGGAAATATCAAATGATGTTGCTTGGAGACAAAATCCATACTTGGTTATCTTGATAGCCTCATTGATTGATCGGTCATAATCATCTGCAAAGCGATGCAGTATAACAATAAAATATACAAATATCTAACCTCACATGAAAATTTCACATGACTAAAGTAAAACATTAGGCCCCTATGATGTGGCTACATAGTATTTTTGTTGCACAGAACCATAAATCAAGGGAATAAGGCAGTTTCTAACAAAATTAAGACAAATTTTAATAATATTTGCAACCAAATACACAAGCAAGCACAATTAAGCAATTAGTCTTATTCTTTCTTTCCACATTTCAGACAAAATTGTATTATTATCATATATTTTCCATCACATGACCAACTGAAGAACTTACACAATGAATGTTCCCGTAATTGGTGCACTATGTGGCATATCATGCAGCACTAAATAGTTTAATCTAAAGATCTCATTACACTTATTTTCAACCAAGGAACAACACACCATCATATGCATTCTAACCAAAAGCAATGCAAGGATGTGTGATATCTAGCTACAAATTGATCTATTATTCATCTATTTCCCTACATGTGTAAAAGAACAATTGATAAAATTCCACTGAATCTAACCATACTAGAAGGCTATGCACACTTGCAATGCATGTGCAGAAATTATGGTTGCAATGTCATCTAGAAAAGAAATTAAAAATAAAGAGCTCGATGTAGATGAGAGGGGGGACGGGGGAGAGCAAAAGAAATCAAAATTTGAAATAAAAGGACAATTGCATAGGGCTAATTTGGGTATGAGAAAATGTGACATAGTTTCAAAACATATTCTGAGTTGTGTGTTTTATATAATAGAATAGATTTACCAATTATCATGAAATACCCAAGAAAGTTCACTTTGATGCATATAATATCAAGCACAACTATTAGAGAAAATGAAGTGTGTCAACTTCATGCTCTTTTACCCACCCAAAAAAGGGAGAAAAAAAAAAAAAAAAAAAACTTCATGCTCTTACCAAAAGTATAAGTGACAGGTTTTCTATCTCGAAGGGAGCGTCCTTGAGCAAGCCCATCCACGTTGATCATATTATCAAGAAGAAGAGCTTGTCTATGCTGTTTTTTCAGCAGCTTCTCTTTCCTCTGCAAATGATAATTGAAAAACTTTAAGCCTTAGTAACACCAGTATAATGCAGAAGGCATTTTTTTCAGGAAGAGAATAATTGATGAGAGCAAGTCAAGAAACATTTTAATTTAAAAAAAAAAAGAGTAAAATAGAGCAAAGCTGAGAAAAGCGGAACCAGATGAGATATAGTTGACTACCTTATGGACCTTGTCAATCTCAGGGAGCATGTCACTCTTCAACTTCTTCCCAAGTGAAGCCTCTGTTCTATTTTTACTAGAGAAAAGCTTCTCCTGTGAACAGAAGACAGGACAACTGAAAGTGAGAGGACAAGGAGCAGATAAAGAAAGGCTACATCAATAGTGTTTTCAACAAGTTTAAAATTTATACGAGTGTTAAATACCAAAGATCAGTAAAAGAAAAGTCATGGTCACAAGTAGGATTAGTGATTTACAAAGCCCTCTCTGTATCAAAATTTTTAGATGACTGCTAAAATCTTCAATAATATTGATTTTGAGTTGAAAAATAGGTAGCAGCATATGGTCTCAGACAACTAAAACAGCTTATGATTAGGATATGGTTGTCTAATATGTAATATTTAAAAAAAAAAAAAAAAAAAAAAAAATTACATGACCAAAAAAATCAAAGACATAATTTGCTGAAATTTTGTATATTATACATTTCTCAAAATCATCCAAGAAAGATTGACTACTCTCAAGCATATACATGCCTTATACAATTTGCTTGCCTCCCCCCTTTAGGCATTCACACTCCACCAAACCATACTTAAGAGACAATAATACTATTCCAAAGATGGCCACTCTCGTTAGCAAACCTCCGTAAACACTTTCCCAAAGAGCTTGAATAAAATTCTACAAGATTCTATCACTGAGCCCACTTTTCATCAGGCGACAAACCCTGTCTCAATTCACTGAGTGAGGCTTCAACTTCTCTCGCATCCCACTCAATAGAAGTACCTCTTAGCTTCTCTAAATTCTGAATTTACTGTTTATGAGTTACAGTTTGCAGCACCCAAAACAATCCCCACATTGGTCCTGTATCACATTCCCACTCCACAAAGTAATAACTATGCAACACATGTAACACACCTTACCATCACATTCTATGGAAATGAAAGCAGTAACCACGCACAACATGCAACTTGCACTTCACAGTCATTTCCCAACGTAATGAAGGCAGTTAGCTTAACTACTTTGTAAACCATGCAACCACCACCAATACTCCACTTTTAATGTACCATCACCTCACTGGTTTTTAGCACTTCAATATCTCCAAAGGTTAGGCATTTCCATAAACCTCTAAACTCAAGTATCAACTATGCAGCACAGGTACGAGTACCGGTACAGGTACAATACGAGTACGCCGATACGGTAAAATCTAAAAAAAGTAAGGTACGGGTACGGCTCGGTACGCTAGTAAAAAAATATTTATTTTTAATTTAGAATAATATAAAAATTAATTAAATGGTTTAATTTGTTAAGATCCAACCTACAATTAACATATAATGCCAAAAGTAAAGGTATAATTAAAATTAAATGTCAATATATTAAATAACTTACAAACTATAATGTAATTTTAAAATTATGCTAAGCATAAAAAACTAAAAATAAAAAAGAAGTTTAGTAAAAGGAGTTTTATCTTTGTAGTAGAAGAAAATATTGTTTCAACTGAGGTACGGTACGGCTTGGGTATATACTAGGTACGTCTGGGTACGCCAAAAATTAAAAAGAAAAATTTGGATACGTATTTTGTGTACCCGGTACGTATGCAGAAGTACCATACGAGATACCATACGCCAGTAAGTACCCGGTACGGGTACGACATGTATGCCGAAGTACCCAAGCTTCATAGAGTATCAACAAGGTAAAGCTGCACCAAATCAATCTACTTATGAACTAAGAAGCACAAACAAGGACACACAACATAACATGGACACGTTGACATGGAGATTTTTAAAAATGTAGGATACAACACGTGGAATATACGAGCAAAATATTTAGTTTTATATATTTATCATGTCATGTATATATATTAGCAATGGATGCAAACACATGGTGCTAGCAATTTTACATCTAAACTTTTGGACACTTTGAAATGAGAAAGATCATTTATATTTGTAAACTGTTTAGCAGTTATTATAACCAGTTACCAGTTATTTTATGGGCATTATTGGAAAAGAAAACAGCATTACAAAGCTTCAAACCTAGGAAGCACGGATACGGATACGGGATACGATACGATACGGCGATACGACAAAATTTGAAAAACTAGGATACGGGTACGGCGGGGATACGTTCGTAAAAAATATTATTTTAACAATTTTTAGTAATGCAGTATGCATAAAAATAAAACTTAAAGCAAAAGACAACTTGATAAAGAAGAAAGATTCCTACAAAACTAAGAGTCTTCAAGGTCAATAGGTTTAACTTGTTCCCCTTCATCAGTGAATATCACAAGACCTTAGCTAAAGCCAAAGCCAAAAAACCATTCTTAAATAAAAATTTCAGCAAATATACTTTTTTAAGTCATCAATGATAGCCTAGGAAGCACGGATACGAATATGGTGATATGGGGATGTGGATATGGCGATATGTCAAAATTTGAAAAAGTATGATACGGGTACAGCAAATACAAAAAAAATATGATAATTCAATATATTTTTCATATTTTTATGTATTTATTAATTTTTTAGAATATTTTTTCACAAATTTTTTACTTTTTAGATACATCTAAGTAAGGTGCATCTAAAAAAGTAAAAAAAATACTTAAAATTTTAAAAATATTCACTAAAAACAAAAAAAATAAAAAACAAAAAACTCAATTTTCAAAAAAACTTAATTCAAAAAACTCAAACTAAACACACACAAATTGTACAATATATATATATATATATATATATCAAAGTAGACATACAAAGGGAAACTACAAAAGATAAAAGTACATAATGAGTTCAGATCTCAATAGCATTCTATAAGGATCTCTTTCTTTGAATTAAATAAGTTACATAAGGGTTATTTTTTATTTTTTATTTTTTTTCATGACCACTTTCTATTTTCATAAGGGTATCTTTTCTTTTTTTTTTTTCTTTTTTCTTTTTTGCATTTCTATATATCCAATTGAAACATAAATAGGAAGTTTTCAGCTCCTTCATCAATTAATTTTTTAATTCCTTCCCATTCAGATCTTCCTCACTCCCCACACCCAACCAAAATAAATAATACTTAGCCCTCGTTTGGCAAGTGCCCTTTTTAGTCAAAAAGCTACTAAAAAAATAAAAAAGCCAACAACTTATACCAAAAAGTCAAAGATTCCTTTTTCTCTATATTTTTTGCACATTTTTTCGTAAAAAGCCAAAAAATCATCCAAAACATACTAGTTTTTTTTACATCACATTTTAGCCAAAAAGAAAAAAAATTACTAAAAAAGCCTGTTCTCAAACGAGGCCTTAGGCCTCGTTTGGGAACAGGCTAATTTAGTAACTTTTTGGCTATTTGGCTAAAAAGGTAGGTAAAAAAAACTTGTATGTTTGGAATGACTTTTTGGCTAATTACGAAAAGATGTGTAAAAAGTAGAGAGAAAATAGAATCTTTGACTTTTTGGTATGAGTTGTTGGCTTTTTAGCTAATTTAGTAACTTTTTTGCTAATTGACTAAAATAGCCTCTTGCCAAATGAGGCCTTAATAGGGGTAAATTACAAACACACACCCCAAGGTTTGCTTAAAATACAAATTGCCCTTGTGATTTTAAAAATTGCATCCCACCCCTAGAAGTTTATAATTTCATAACAAATGACCCATTTTATTAATAAATTATCAAATTAATTAACAGTATTTAATGATGTCAGAAATAGAGTTCAATTAATAATTCAAGTAATTTTATTACGGTATAGGAGAGCAATTAGGAATTTCGTTTTTTCAGTTAATTTTGTTCAATAAAACATTTCTAACAAGAGAATATTTGTAATTTTTCAAACTATAGGGGGCAATCCGTATTTTAAACAAATCTCAGGAGGTGTATTTATAATTTACCCTAATATAATAATACTGAAAAAAAAAAGAGAAGCTGAAAGAAAAAAAGAAAACCAAAGAAACATTTTGCATTTGGGCATAATTAAATATGGAAGATACAATAGAATTACTGAAGTAACTTACAGAAACATCTTCAAATTCATCCAAATTAGATGCAACCATTTCCCACTGGTACGATGAACTAGGAATTGGCTGTACATTTTTTCCTTTTGCTTTCTTCACCTCCACCTTTCTAATCTCTCGGTACAACCGGTGACCAATTATGGGATCATCTTCATACCTACATATCAACAAACATATCAGCAGATAAAACGTGACTACCCAACAATACATGACATGAGAATTCACCAAAAACAGTATTATTCTATTTATCTAATAAAAAGAAATTGTGTTCTGTGACATGTTATGAAATCCCACACAAATCCGACCTCAGCTCAGTTGGTAGAGCAGAGGACTGTAGTGGGGTTAAGCCTAACAGCTAATCCTTAGGTCACTGGTTACAATCCAGCAGGTCAGACGCACAGTATTTTACTCTTAAAAAAAATGGCATGAAATCCACACCAAAAGCACAACTATCTTACCAATATGAGATTCCATAAGCATCACCCCCAATACGTTCCTTACGGAATGTTGAAAGGTGAACACCATGTTTGATTGAATCGTCTATATAATTCCGAATATCTTCTTGCTGCAAAAATAAGACAATCATTTCCAATTCCTTCATTGTATGCTTCCAAAAACAATGAAAGAAAATTAGAAAAAAAAAAATGAATTTTTTCAAAACTAACTAATATTTAATCCTTTCAAAATGCTTTTTGGGGAATCCAACATTCTCCTTGCCCAGACACTCTTCTTTGTTGTACTTTTGAGGACCCAAATATCCATAATTTCCTTAGTGCACCGCCTCCCCTCCCCCCCCCCACACACACAAAGTATCCGGGTGAACAAACTCTTGAAGGTTAGGTAACTATCTGCTCATACAGAAGAGGAGCACTTTGAACCTGCCAGTTGTCATATAGATTGAAACCTGAAGCAATAACGATGAAAGCCCTACGCACAGCTACAGCTATTGACACTTCAAAAGGATTTGATTCTAAGGGCACTACTGAAAACCTTCTTTTAGGTCATGTACTAGTAGTAGGGAGATGTAAATATCTTTTTGTAATTCTTTCAAAGAACAAGAAAACATAACTACTATCAAATAACTTGACAGTTCCATTCATGTGGTTTTGAAAAATAAAATATAAGACATGCTTTTGTATGATAATAATATATTTGAATAACAAACTACTTCTACAAGGCATGTCTGTCAAAAAAATTACAATGGATCAACATTTATAATCTGGTATGGGAAAGAAAAGTTTTCGAAGAAATTATCATATTACACTGCAAGATAAAGTCTAAGCATTAAAATAACAACAGCATATAAATAAACCTCATAATTAGATGATAGTAAACAATGCATGCAAAAATCAACATTGCCGTGAAATAAATTTTTTTGCATGATCTAAAGTAAAAATAGTAATCAAATTAGCATACTACCAAAGATCAAAGATGGGATTGGTAGCAGGTATTCAAAAGTGGGAAATTATTTGGCAATGATAATACCTCAACACGAATATCACATAAGGCTTTCAAAATCACCACACGAACCCCTGGATCAAGTGCATTATACGCTTCAATCTCAGCCCTAACAACATGAACAAGATAAACCAATAAACTGTTTAACATGCAAAAGTCCATAAATTCAAATTTTACAAATACTCAAGGTTACTCACCCATGTGATGCAACTATTGGTAGCTCCCCTTCTGCAACCTGCAAAGAAGTTCCAAAGTCATGTTAATTCAAAAGTTATCACTTACAGGGATCTATTCATGTGCACCATTGTCCAACGTTAGTTTCAAGGAGCACATAAATAATGTTTACCCAATGCCACCAATCTCTCAACTTTCTGCAGAGAACTGTAATCCAAGTATTATGTCCAAGTGCCATACGGGTAATTGGAGGGATCGCCTGTAGAAAATGAAATAAAATTAATAAGCAAAGCTTGTTGCGGTAGCAAAATTAATGAAATTACCAAGCAATCAAATTGACCAAAAGATCATCCTTAACACAAGGAAATTCAACATTCAAATAACCAACTCCACAAGACAGCCACATATGATCCAGTTGTTACACCAGCTGGGAAAGTCTAGTTCCGCAATATAAGGTATCAAAAACCAATGTTTAATCAATAAGAACACAATGAAAGGAAAAAAAACATTCACATATCTAAATGAGAGCAGAACCCTTGCAAATTTGACAAGCCTGAAAAGCAAAAATTTCATATGGAATACACTCCACAACAAGAATTTCTAAAAACATCGTCATCAAAATTCTAGGATTATGGAGGTTCCATGGGAGAATTGATTGAGCTAATTTCTCAATACAAGAGGCTTCTATTAATGTATGATCCCATAAAAACCCTTGACCAATTATCTTCATGACATAATTAATAGCTATTTCCTCCTCCAAGGCCACAAATAATAAGACCCTCGGAAAGAGCCTGCCAAAACAACCTTCCTCACACTATCCACTCTCTTTATCACACTTATAGGTCATTTACTTGAGTGTTTGTGTTAACTCTTGATCTAGTCAATTGTGTGCCCGTGGTCCCAAGATTTTCCACGTATTCGCATGTTCTTGTTAGTTAATTTATTACTGCAATATTGTGATATGATTGTTCAAGAAATATTGAATTAAAATTTTGAATTGATAATAACTGTTGGTTTAATTTTTAGTCAGCAATTTGAATCAAGGGTTTGGCCTATTCAACCTCCTTTGAAGTACAAACTGTACACCTCTCTGCCTTTTTCAATTCCATTACAATTCAAGGAAAATCCAAGCTTCCACGTAACCAAGGTTTTAAAAAGCGGCCGTAACCGTTACGTAATGCCGTTGCGTAACGGTTGTGGTAGTTACCGCCATCCGTTACGGCCGCTTTTGCAGTGTAATTGAGATTCACAGGTGTATCGGCCGTAGCGACTGCTACAACGGTCGTAACAATACCGTAACGGCCTGTTACGCACCGTTACGTGACGGATCCGAATTGCTTCTTTCGAAAAAATAAAAAAAGAAAAAGAAAAAAAAAAATTGTAAATGGGGAAGAGAAATAGAAAGAGGAGGGAAAATGAAGATAGAAGATGGAGGAACAAGAGATAGAGAGAGAGAAGATGGGAGATAGAGAGAGAGGGGATGGAAAATGAAGAACATGTTATTGATTTGTTGAAACTGTAAGACTTATGCTATTCTATTCAGCTACTATCACTCAACCATTTTGTTTGTGTGTGTCTATCTATATATTGTTTGAAAATAATAATAAGTGTGATCGTTATCTATTTGGCTTGATTAATATATATATATATATATATATATTTAGGCTTTTATTTTTTCTCTTACTTTTGTCATTGTTTATCTTATATATAATAGTTAGTTATTGATTTTTTGTATAATATAAAGTCATTAATTATTAAAATAAAATGTAAAAAACTCAGTTTATAGTGATTTAAAAATATGAAATATATTGGATCAAATTAAAAAATTTATGAAAATTGATCAATACTTATTTTAAAACCCAATAAATATGATCATGGAAAAAAAAATGTGCGTATCGGTAAATTTTTTTCAAATTATGCGAAAAATAAAAAAATTTACGATTCCGGTTACCGCAACCGTTAAGGTACGACCTTTACACCCAGCAACCGCAACTGCGCCACCGCCACCATTACGGCAACTGCAACCGCTTTTCAGAACCTTGCACGTAACTAAAGGTGAATGTCATTCAGATTTAGAATATTCACACTTGCATATGTTATTTTTAAATAGGCAAATAAGTGAATAAGCTTTGAAACTTAAAAAACTATGACATTATCATATAGGAATATGTATTTCTCAGTAGTTTTGGCACTTCATTACTTCCTAGTTCAGCTTTCCAAGCTAACAGCATAAATAAAACAAAAACCACACCGGTCTGATTGATAAGTTAAAACCTATGCATAAGCATTCACCGCAGGAAAACAAAAACAAATTAAAGCCTCCAGTTTTTAGACAATTAAGGTACCATGACAATTCCCATTCCACTTATAGGAGCTAAAAAATGCAATATTTTATTTCATAAGCAATAGAAATGCTTCAAAAACAGTGATGAAATGATGCCTAGAATACTAAAAAACACACACGTCATCAATGAGAATTACACTAACCCAAAATTGCATGCAAGAAAAAAAGCTCAGCATGCACTAAAAACAGTATATTTGGTACTTAAAACACAAAAGAATTGCTTGAAAGTAAAGCACTGACCTTCAGTAAAGGAATATGTATATCCCCCAAAGTGTTGTTTGGGGTAATCAAAGCGGTCTCAAACTCTTCTGCTGAGAATTCCACTTTAATATTCAAAAAGGGCCTAAAAACCTACAAAACAGAGCAAAGAACAAATAAGCCCTAACCCAGCTGAAAAAACCAATTCCAAAACAAAGTTCACAACTTTTTCTTAGCTCACATTCAAGAAATTGAGAATGGAAGCTAGCTCCCACATCGACCGGAGACTCCACCGCGGCAACTGCGACGGAGGCGGCTCCGCCACTAGCGGTGTAATTATCTTACATTGCGGCGGCGGAGGAGGAGACGGCGGCTGCGGCTCCTCCCTCATCCGCTCCTTCCTCGCCACCTTCTGCCTCCGTACGGCGGCGGCCAAAGCCGCCTCCGCCTCTGCCGCCGCATAAAGCCTGGCGGCGGACCTCGCCGTGCAAGCCCTCGAAGGCCTCTCTCTCCTCACTACACTATTGCCGTTGATTTTGGTTTCGTTTTCGTAATTGCTTTCTGGGTTTTGCGATTGGTGTTTGGGTTCTTCGTGGGTGTGGATCAAAGTGGAGGGTTCTTCGTCTTCGAGCATGGTGGAGAGATCGGGAGGGCAGGGATTGTCTACGGAGGGGCCACATCGGAGATCATCATCACCATGGGATTGTTGCATTGAGGAATCAGGAGAGAGAAAGTGAAGACGAAGAAGGAAAATGAATTGAAGAGAGAGAAGGATGGGGTTTGGGGAGAGAGAAGCATAGCAGATTGAAGAAGCTCCAAGTCCAACCCATCATTCACATCTTTCTCTCTCTATTACCATGTTCGTCGATGAGAGAGAAAATCGAGGAATTGGGGATGACTTTGGTTGAAATTTTTTCTGGGTAAAAAGTTGAATTTTGATATGTGTTGGTAAATTTTGGAATTTTAGGGTTCAGGGATTGGGGGATTAGGGCAAAGGAAAGGAAAAAGTAGGCTCCGTTTGGTGGAGTTTTCAAAATCTAGTTCCACACTCACTTTTGAGTATGGTGTTTGTTTAGGATTTTCAAATCATAATTCTACACTCATTTCTCAAAACTCAATTCAAAACATAATCATTACTTTTCAAAACTCATAACCAAACACATAATTCAAAACTCTCAGTTAATAGGATGATAAGGGGAGGCATAAGCTTTTAATGATTTTAATTTTAGTTAGGGATTGTATTTCATTAATGATTGTATTTCATTAATTTTAGTTAGGGATTGTATTTGATTTGATGAGAGAGTGATTTGCTATTGTTGATCTTCATCTTTTTTGCAATAATGATTTCTATAATATTTACATTATTTTGCGTTGCAACATTGATGACTCGTTTTTGTAATGTTTAACATTTGTTGTTTTTTATAAAAATAAAAATAAAATATAAATTTATTTTTTAGATTTATTTTTTTATCAAATTATGTATAAGGGATATGATTGATTAATAATTATAAAAAATTATGAAAGAGAGAGGGAGAGTTAGGAGTGTAAATATGACTTACGGTCCACTTGAACTCTACTCCCAGTCTATGCCAATTAGCTTGGGCCGTCTGTTTCGAAGGCTGGTTTGACCCGTAAACCTAGCCTGAGGCCTGGCCTAGACTCCAGCCCAAGGCCAAGCCTGCTTGCCCTACCCAAGGACTAGTCTGCTACCTCGCCCAAGACTTGAGTAGGAGTATGCACAGTGCGGTTCGGGCGATTTGAGAGTAAAATTACAAACTGAATGGCGGGTTAGCGGATTAGCGGATTGACAAATTGCGATTTGGGCAGTTTTTGACAGATTGGCGGATAGAAGAATATTCTAACTAATTATCATATATTTGCATAATATATAACACTAATTTGTATAATATTTTTTAGATATATAACACAAAGTAATTTTACATAATATGTTTCTCATATATAACCACTAATTTGTAATAAATTTCATATCTTAAATCTCTTTCATATTCATTTTTACATTGATATTTCATTGGAAGTTAAAAAATATATATGTATTAACTATAATGTAGTGGAGCGGTTCGGTTGGCAGATTATAAATTTTAAAGTTTAAATCGTGATTAGTTGTTAGAGCGGTGCGAATTGATGCAGATCGGTGCGGTTTTAGCGGATTGGGTGGTATTTTGCACAGCCCTAGACCTAAGTACCCCTATGCCCCGGATTGAGCCTGGGCCGTAATTTTTGCACAAGTGGATCGGCCTGATTCAATTTTTTCTTGCGGAATCCCGCACGACCTAAGCCCGAGCCCAAGGCCAAATTTACATCCCTACCCTAGATAGAATGTTATCTTGAATATCCTAATTGATTATCACATCACTAAACCAAAAAATTAGAATTTTTTGTCTTGAATAGTAATGCTCAAATAAAAATAAAAAAAATTAATATGTATGCAATTTAAAATTTTGTTTTAAAAATAAGTAAAAGGGGAAAATGCATGAGACCCCAGTGAGGGTGCTTGGGGTCCCTTTTGATTGGTCTAAAACAGTTTTTTTTTTTTTTTTTTTCATCCATTGGTGCCCCACATGGAGGTGGGGGTGTTGGGGGTTTTCTCCTGCTGGGGGTCCCCAACAGGACTGAGTAAAAGGAATGGTTAACTGGATGTGATAATTAATGGTAGTTTGTTAACGGCCAGAGATAATTGTTAACCGCTAAAGGTGATTGTTGTTAGTAGGAGGTGGTTGACGGTTGACAAATATAATTGTTGATTGCATGAGGGAAATGATGCCCAAAACTGGTTAGTAATGATTGAAGAGTGACTGGTTGCTAGATGTGACGTCCAAAGATAGCAACCGAAGATTGTTTCCGACAAGAATTGGTGGCCCAAAGTAATTGCCAAACAAGGAGGTGGTTGTCAAAGTGACTTATGACGATGGTCAAATGCGGAGATAAATTATAATAGTGATGATCTATAAGAGGTAGATGCAAGAACAGGAAAATGCGAAATACATTTTTTTCCCCATAAACAAGTGAAACTAATGAACTAAAACTTACTAATAAAATGAAATAAGACACTAGTGCATCTCTCTCTAAGTTTCTCTCACTAAGCCTTATGCTGGGTATGCTGTCGGGGGTGGGGAGAAGTTCCGACCGTTGACCTCCTTCATATCTCTTCCTTTCACCCCCTTTTTTCTCCTTTTCTTTATTTTTTTGCTTAATAATATTGAAAGCTTGTTCTTCCAACCCTTTTTGGTGCTACTACCACCACATCGCCACTAGATCTGTCACATTCCCATCTTTATGGATCCACCATTACTAGATCTACCACATCTCCTTCAGATCCACTTCTAGCCACTTGTGTTGGTGTTGTCTCTCCCTCTTTTCGATCTTCCAGTTCTGATGTTTGGTTTGTGCCCAAACTTTCATCCCTTGTGCCCAAAACTGTAAGATTTGGTTTCAAATTTTTGCACAATTCAAAGATCGACGCTGTTTAACACGTTCGTTTCACGCTAAGTAACCACCTTAACCTCAATGTTTCATATTGACCAAGTGGGGTCTTCATATTTCAAGTTGAAGGTTGAGATGTAATAGAATTTTGGATACGTTTGGTGGCTTGAATATGGTCGATTTTGGTTTGCTTTTTTTTTTTTTTTTTTAATTATTTGTTGTAATAATTTTCCTTGTTGGAGGTTGTGTCCCTCTTTTGTGAGAGTTTTTTTTTTCCCTCTATGGAAGTTAGGATTCTTCCTTTATGAAAGTTTGTTATCTTTTTATGAGATCTTACTAATGTTATATGAGATTGATCTTATTTTTTATCGGTTTTGCAATGATGATTTTCTTCTCGATTTACAACCAAAAAAAAAAGAGAAAAAGAAAAAAAGTGAAACTAATATTTTTGTAGTCACACAAAATAAAAAATGATAAACAAAAACATTACCAAAAAGGTCCTAACCTTTTTAAAATTGAAACAATAAAAATACAATTAATCACATCATTTTGTACAAATATTCTAGTATTTGTTTAGCTTTGCTCTATCCCGAAGGATAAAATTTTATTTGTATAAATATTCTATTATTTATCTTCAGTCTAGCCCCTAAAATAAAATTTATTTGCAATTTATTTTCATGTTTATTCAGTTGTATTTTAAAATTTTAGGTTATTTTGTAAAAAAAAATAAATTTTTGTCTTACTTGTTTGTACCTTAAAAAGTATATTCTTTTTTAAAATTAAATTATATATTTTTTAACCTACAAATATATTTTGCCAAACAGCACCGTCAACTAAATTCTCAAAACAAAAGGAAAAGAATGAACAGTAAGTGTGCACTTGTATTAGAAAAGTAAGTGCAGCATTTTACAAGTTGAAAATTAATAATTATAAAGTAAAACTAAAATTCACTGCTTTTTTTTTTCAATTTATTTAAGTTATTTTTGCTTCATAAGCGATTAATAAAAGTTGACATCGGTAGGCCCATAAAAGGTTTTGGCCCACGACTTAGAGCCCAATTCACGGTTCAAGTACTAAAGCCCAGTACCCTTGAAAACCCAATGTTGAATCAGGAACCAATGGCATCTAAACACTTATCAAGTAGGGAACCAGCTACGTAAGCAGACAAAGATTCTGCAAAATTATTGCACCACATATCAGCCATTAATGAGGCTTCTACAGCGTTAAATGCGACAACACCTTCACGTCGGAACAGGTAGCCTCACCGTGAACAATGCAAGCTAGAGCATAGACTTTCGGCCAACACGACAGGTTGGAGTGGACAAGGAAATGATAGACAAAGGATATAAGGAGGATTTCAAGACACATCAAAGGTTAAGTTCTCTATTTTTCTTCTCTCTCTCTATCTACACAGTCAACCTCCTCTTTTCTAACTGGATCGTCAAAGGGTCCGCTGGGGGACTCCCATTCCTCGTTGGACCTTTTTATAGGTACCACCAGCGAGTTTCGAGACCGGTGAAAGGTGTTGGAAGCGTGGGTTGGCCCGACTTGCCCTCCCTTGGATCAACAACATCATCAGTTGCCGTCTGTGGAAAACGCCACTCCAGGTAATGGTTGTGCTCATTGTTGCCGGAGGCCCGTTCCTAATAATTTCTCTTTACCTGCCATCAAGGTGGATGGTTAACAATGAGATCCATGGCTTCTCAACACAATGTCGTCGACCTCCAAGCCGACCCTCCTAACCCAAACAACCCACCTCAGTACTTTACAGAGCTCACTAACAGCATCAACCGCTTAGCCGAGCAAAACCAGGTCTTGATCAACGTTTTACTCCAACAAAATCTCCCTATACCTCCTCCACCACCACAAGACATCCCTGCCAATGGAGAATAGACCCTGAGCCATCCTTTCCAGCAAGCCCACCTTTTAAACCTAGAGGGTCTACAAGCCCCACCTCAAGACATGAACCCACTACCTCGGGGTTTACATCCATCAATTCAAGCACCTGTCCCTGAAGGAAAGGCTAGTAGTGTTCAGCCCCCACTGCACTCTAGAGGGGACAATGTTCCTATTTGGGATGCGGAACTCTGAGCCATGAAACTCCAGGTTCAAGGAGTCATGCAGAACATACAGAATAAGCCCTCCACAACAGCTAACTCCCTGCTTGTCTCCTCCATCAGGGATAAACCCTTACCTCCCAAGTTCAAAATGCCCTCGATCGACACCTTCGACGGCATAACGGACCCGGTTGACCATTTGGAGACCTACAGGACCCTTATGGTCCTCCATGCTTTTCTTGACGAGATCATGTGTCAGGCTTTCCCCGTGACGCTTAAAGGGTCAGCTCGACTATGGTTTAGTCAACTACCGCCGGACTCTGTTTCTACTTTCCAATACTTAAGTGATTCCTTCTTGAGCCATTATTGGTGCTTAGAGCTAGCGGCGCCCGACAACTCAACTGCTTAATATCCGACAGACGGAAGGGGAGTCACTATGCAGCTTTGTCACCCGTTTCAACACTAAGGCCCTACAGGTGGTGGAAAACAACGACCAGGTCATCCTTA